ATAGCAAAATAAGAGTTAATATTTTAACAGTGAATTATTTGGAAATGTGCAACTTGATTATGCAACCATCTCTGCATACTTGGAAACACCTTTTTTTTTTTTTTTTTTTTTTTTTCAAGATGGTGTTTCTCTGTAGCTTTGGAGCCTGTCCTGGAACTCACTCCATACACTAGGCTGGCCTCAATCTCACTGAGATCTGCCTGCCTCTGCCTCTCAAGTGCTGGGATTAAGGGTGTGCGCCACCACCACCCAGCTCAGAAACAACATGCTTCTAAGTGTCCCATGGACCAAAGAGAAATTCTTAAGTGTTTCATTGCATGATTTAGAAAAATCTCCCAAAGGCACACTTGTTGACACTTGGTTCCTAGCTTGTGGTGGTACTTGGGGGATGGGGACAAGGCTGGTTGGAGGAGAACCTTTGTGTGTGTGTGTGGGAAGGGGTCTAGCTCAAGGAAGTAAGACACTGGAAGGTGTGAACAAAAAGTTTCAACCTGGTTCCCAATACTTTCTTCATCTTATGTTTTCTGCCTGTCCAGATGAACAGTCTCCTCTTCCCCCCTCTCGCCATGACCGGAAACACTGACCAAATGAAATTCTTTCCTTGAGTTGTTTTTCTTAGGTATTTTGGTCACTGGGATACAAAAGGAACTAAAACAGGAAATCAATGTCTCAGAACTGGGGCTGTTGCTACAATTGAACCTTACCTAGTTCTTAAGCCTTTGCACTGGTTCCCAGGCAGGTGGAGATGAAGACAGAACTGAATGGGTGATTCTGATAGAAAGGGATTCAGAAGACCAAAGTGCCAATGGTAAACATGTTGTATGAGGATTTCTATGAGACAGTGACTCCAGTGGGAATTGGATGCTGTACTCTGTCAAAAAATATGTTTATGCTTTGTCTATGTCTTTAGATTTTTATGTTAGGATAAAGTAACAAGCTAGCTAATTTGGCAGAGTAAATACCAAGAAAGTCCAAAGCTAGTGGATTTTGCTTACTGATTTAACCCAGGTTTACAGTGAATACAAAGAACAGAAGGTTTAGCAGAAAGACTCCAAAAAGCTTTAGTTTGTTCAGAAAAGCACAGGTAAAGTTTGGTTTCAGAAAGATATGCTTTCTGAAGAGATTTGCAATATTGAAAAGCAGTCGTTGATATAAAAACAGCAGGACACTGTGGCAACCTGTTTTCTCTGGGGCATCATCAAGAGTAATGTCTGTTATTCAACATAGTGCTGGATATCCCAGCCACTAAGAGGAGAAAAGAAAATAGAAAAATCAATAAGAAAAGTGAACAGAAGACTGTAATGCTCTTATTTATAAATTACACGTTTATTTACTGACCAAATGTTTCAAGTTTTCTTTTTAATTCTAAGCATGAATAAGTTTCTATTTTTTAAAAAAGGTGTGTGTGTGTGTGTGTGTGTGTGTGTGTGTGTGTGTGTGTGTGTGTGTGTGTAAAGTTTTAGTTCAGTTTGCTATGGGGCTAAGGGCACATATGTTTATTATTTTACAATTCATATCTTTTTTACTTTCTGACTGTTTATTATATGGCAGACCCAAAGCCAGACACAGAAAACCTTGTGTGTTTTCTCAGTTTGCAAAAATGCCATCAATTCATCAATAAAGGCCTTATTGTTCCCATTTACAGTTGAGGGATGCAGCAGACTTCTTACATAACCAAAATGGAGTGTGTGGGCTGAGAGCCCACAACTGAGGCTAGGGAGACCTGATGCTTTAGGTGATAGTCTGTGGGGGATGTGCTTCCATCCTCAGAACCTCAGTTGTAAAGTAAGTTGCTTAGAACAGCTGAGACTCAATGTTACTCTACCCAGCATGACTCTCAAAAGAGGAAATGCTTATTGTGGGTCATGGCATGAAAGTATTCCATCTGGGATCAGATGGCTCTATTGATTCTGGGTTGTGGTCCTGCAGATCATTATAGCAGGACCTGGGCATAGCTGAGAAAAGTTGCTGATCACACATCAGCCAGGAAGCATGGAGAGTGAAGAAAAAGGGCAGGACCAAAACACAACCTTCCAAGGCATGCCTCAGTAATCTACTCCTCTCAGCTTTCCTACTTCTAAATACAGTATCTACATTTTGAATTGCATCAGTGGATTAAACCAATGATTTGGTCAGTACCATCATGATAAAATCCCCTTTTAGAAATATCCTCTCTTTGACTGGACTCCAGGAGCTGGTCCCAGTGCTCAGCTGTGGATCTCTGCATCTGAACCCATCAGTTACTGGATGAAGGTTTTATGACAATTAAGGTAATCATCAGTCTGATTACAGGGGAAGGCGGGAGAGAGGGAGGAGTGATAATATGAGCAAATGGATCAAGACCACTATGGGGAAACTGACTGAAACAGCTGACACAAGCAAGTGAGAGCGCAGACTGACAGTTGGAGAACTTGCATAAGAACGAACTAGACCCTCTGAATGTAGGTGACTGTTTATGGGACCACTGGCAGTGGGACCAGTATTCCTAGTGCATGAACTGGCCTTTTGAAGTCCATTCTCTAAGGAAGGATACCTTGATTAGCCTAGATACAGGGGGAGGGTCTCTGTCCTGCCTCAATGTGTTATGACAACTTTGTTGATTCACTATAGGAGGCCTTACCCTCTCTGAAGAGTGGATGGGAGGTAAGGTGGGGGAACACAGGGGGAATAAGATGAAGAGAGGAAGGAGGAACTGGGACTGGTATGTAAAATAAAAAGATTGCTTTTGAAAAAGTTAAAAAGAAAAAAGAAAAAAAGAAATATCCTCATAGACACCTAGGGCTTCACTAATCTATTATGCATATCTCAGTCTATTTGAGTTTATAATCAAGATTAACTACTACACACAAAATTCAGATAGGAGCCACAGAGTTGACAAACTTAGGAAGCCCTGCCTTTTCCAACCCTGATCATGTAACTTCTTCACTCTCCTCATCTGTGAATGGAAACAGTGACAGTGTCCTTCTATGTTTCCTCTGGCTACTGTAAGGATTCACACACTAGGTGACTGAAAATAATAGCAAATTTTTTACCATGATTGTTAGCATTTACAGTTTCTGGGGCTTGCAGTAGACACATATCTTCAGGAGTCATTGTCAGTCCCCTTGTGTGTTTTTACAAGGACTAAAGAAGCAAGAACAGGGGTAACTTGCTGGGGGAAACACACACACACACACACACACACACACACACACACACACACTCTGAACCCTCTATTGAAAGAACAAAAGCCAGAGGATTCAGGAAGGGATGGAAAGAACTTTGACAAATACCTTATGACAGGTATCTCATGTTATTTGGTAAGAAAGTCAAACACTTGCTTCTGAATATTTCCAGGTTGACAGAACCCAGCCCCCACTATAGTAACTGGCTCTAATTAACCACATGATCAATGCCCTTCTGCCTGATAGTTGATGTTCAGAAACAGGCAAGGCCCTTCCTGAGCTTGTATTAATATGTACAACACTTCACTCGCATGCAAAATTGATTTTTCTCTTTAAGCACAAAATGTAGCACTTTTATAGTCTTTCTGCAGCTTGACAAAGGCCATTTATAACCTAGTTTCTCCATCACCCTTGCTGGCACCAGTCTCAAATGTCTGGAAGAACTCTCTTGTGCATTTGTAATTACAAATCATACTCGGGCAAAATTTAATTTCCAAGAGAGCTGACCTCCTTTTTTATTGCAGTGGTTTGTGGAAATTAATGTGGATGTGTGTGTGTTGTTGTTCCTATAATTTTAGGATCATGAGGAGGAGACTGTAGAGCTGTCAGGGGAGGCAAGAAGGGGGGCATTTTAATCAGTGATGTCTATTGACAGACAAAGAGGGCTGAGCTCTGGGTGTTATCTTAGTGGAAATGACAGCAAGGTGACTGAAATTATAACCTGGTACCTTGTTCAAAAGGCAAGGACATTGAGACTGCTTCTCCATCAGTGGATGTGGAGATGAGCTTAGCCCACTGAATGATGGGAATTAATAGGCAAGTGAACTTCAACATAAGATTTCCTGTTCACAGAGATTCAAAGTCATAAGACACATAGAAAATTGTGTCACAGCTGAGGTCCTAGAAGGGGAGAATCTCTGGAGGATTTGCTTAGGACATAGGGTTCCATACAAGGATGTGTAGATGGCTGACAGAGTGTTTGCCCAAAGTCTTTGAATACGTCTATTGTTAGCTTAAGGCAAATCCAAGCATTTTCAGATTCATTTATTTATGGATGCTGAGGCATAGTGCAGTTCAAGAATATCATTTCAGTGGCCATATAGAAGACAATGTAGAGAAGCCAGACTGATTAGAAGTCTCCCCACATTGTTATGAGTATACAAGTTGCTCACTTAGAGATCCAGGGACAAGGGTGGGAGTGAAATCAAGTCAACATAGAACATCAATACACATTTCTTGAGTACCAGTTACATGGCAGAATCGAAAAGGTATGTATTTGTGTTTATGCTTCCTATTTGAGCTTCACAGCTAATCTACAGTTACACTGCATCTATTTCATAGACAGCAGCACTGAACTCAGAGAGGGTAGTGATTGCCTAAGGTCACACAATGAAAGGATCTGCAATTTAAATTCATATTATTAGGTTTTGGTTTGGATATTTTTTAAATTTTTTAAAATATAACTAGAAGCCTTTCTAGGTGACTCTTATAATGGGAGACCTCTTTCAGGCAATAGTTATAAATTATAAAAAAACAATAAAGATGATCCTAGCACTGTTGGCATTAATGACATTTACAACATGGGTCTGTGAAGTCTGTGTCCTAAGCATTTTGCAACGTTATGTCCCTTCAGTCTCAGAATTCAGTGAAGAAGATGATCACAAAAGCCCTATTATTGCAAGGTATATTGAGGTTATAGAAGTAAAGAATGTTATCCAAGGCCATACTGTTCTTAATGGGTCTAATAAGACTCTGGCCCACATCTGTGTGTGAGAAGTGAGATGGAACCTGCCACCTCCTACACCATAACCGTCCTATTGTGTTCTCTCCAAACAGTGTCCTGAGGAACTGAGGCCCATGAAGGATGGCTCAGGCTGCTATGATCACTCCAAGGGCATTGACTGCTCTGATGGCTTTAATGGAGGGTGTGAGCAGCTTTGCCTGCAACAGACACTACCTTTGCCCTATGATGCCACCTCCAGCACCATCTTCATGTTCTGCGGGTGAGTCTCCATTTCTGAGGTCCAGGAACTCCCACATAGCTAAAGTGAATCTGTGGACAAATGCTCAGGAAATACTACCTGGCCTTTTACTTCTTTTGATTCACGCCCAGTTAGGTGTGCAAAAGAAGAATGGGTAAGAAAGCAAACAATGACTGAAGAGCACATACACTCATGTTTAAGCCTCTAAGTTATAGATGTTGTCTCATTCTGGTTCCTGTCCCTGATGTTTCCCTGTCCTTCTTAAAGCCCACCAGTGTATGTAGAGACAGATTCAGGGATGTTGAATGTGTGTGCATAAATACACACATTGGCTCTGCCAGATTGCAAACTATGGGAACTCAGCAGTTAATGTTTACTGTTTTGCCTCTCTGGGTCCTATGTCCGTCTAGGTCAGGACAACTAACTGGGGAGTGGTCCAAATAAAGCAAATCACACCGGAGGAGTTTCTAGACAGCCTCAGGCACTCTGAATAATTCAAGCCCAGGTGCTTTTGTTACTATTTTTATCTTTCCTTTTTTATTGGTTGGAAAAGGCTTGGGATTGAACCCAGGGCCTTTCACATGCCAGGCAAGTGCTCTATCACTGAGCTACATCCCTAGCTGAACAAAGTGAATTTAGAAATCAGTGTGAGAAATGAAGAAGAGACCACATTCAGATTGACTGAATATGCTCCCCCATGGCCTCTGTTCTCTCTCCCAGCTGCAGCTTACCAACCTGTGAAAGATGCCTATTCTTACACACAGGGGCAGATGAGGATTCTTTCAAGGGATCATTTAGATGATACTTGTGCTGCCTCAGTGCCTAGAATTGTGTTTGGGTCTCAGTACCCTCTCAGGAAAATAACAACACTTCTGTTTTTCTCCTCCTACTTGTTGCCTCTCTGATTTGCTCATCTTTGGCTTTCTGTCACTTAAAAACAGTCCTGTGATCCCGGTGAGAGGTGTACCAGACTTTCTCATTACCAAGCAAAGCAGAGCAAGAGAGACTTAGCAACCTTTACAGTCCTGTGCACCAAAAAAGAGAAAAAAGTGGGTGCAGGCATGGGTTTGATGCCAGTTTACCAGAAAATCAATTTAACTTTCTTTCATGGGTCTAGTCCAGAGTTAAGTACTTAGTTCAGGGTCTCCTCTCTTGCCCCTTTCAAACTTGGGGCTGCTGGTGCCTTAAAGCAGATGTTGAAGCAGCTTGCTGGAGGCCTTAGATATGTATCGATAAAATAAATAAGAAATAAATTAGTGTATGCACACCTAAATTTATGGCAGTCTCTCCTCAGCTTAAGTGACTGCAGGGCAGTGTTGAGTAAATTATGCATGGACTCAGATCTGCAGGCTTGCATACAGAATCAGCTGTGTTCTTATCATTGTTTATTTTCCTCTCTGTGCACTTTGTTGGAGGGTGTTCTGCAGAAAATAACAACAGTCACAGCGGCAGCCACAGGAGTAATGGATTTTGACATCAGAAACCATCATCACCTTCTACCCAGTGTGCACTGCAGGGCACCTTGGATTCAATAGATTCTTGTCCCAGGACTCTCTCTGTCCTTTAGGCAGTAGCCTCCCAGGACTCCTGTCCTTTGTCATCTGTAAAATGCTGATAAGACCTGTCTCAATATAAAGATAATTGTGGAGAGTACAAAATACTGTCTGCTTTACTGTCCTGTTAAGTAACATATTCAAGGCCATAGCAATGGTAACGTAGCTCATGGCCTTTGGCATATGACTTAACACTGCTTAACTCTGTAGATCAGTTTCCTCCTCTGTAACATAGGCATAATAGTCTCTCTGTTATTACAGGGTTATTATAGGGAATGATGCATTGCCTGCATCATATTTATGTGAGTTCCCAGAGAGCTTTGCAGCCACACCTTGAGTGGAGCAGCATAATGACACTGCGTGGCCTGATGAGAGTTGCTTGATTTTTTCTGATGACATCATGCTCTCCACTTTGATTTGCTGGTCTGTGAGACTGGGCTCACTGACCTTTTGTACCATGAAATTTCTGTGAAAGTTTTAAACAAGACTGGATTAGCTTTTGGTCTAGCTGTTAGAGCCCCTTCATTGTTGGCAAACAGGACAAAAAAAGGAAATGGAATTCAGGCTTCCTAAAACCAACTGTAGTTTCCACAGGTTTTGGAAACTGTCTATTAAGGATGCAAATGAGAAGTTATCCACACTTGTTAGAAGCACTGTAAACAATGAAGGCTATTAGCAGGTGCTTGTGAGATAGTTGGCTGAGAGAGAAGTAAGATGCTGTTAAATTAAACAGGGTAAACAAAACAGACCCTCCTTTGCTCAGCTCCACATGAAGCTCTATGACCTTTCCAAGGTTGGACAGGAGAGAACTGCATAAATCTGTTTGTAGCCAGGTTAATAACAGCAGCTAATGATTCATTAAGCACTTCTAAGTGACTGCTCTGTTAATGTTCAGGACAATTCTGCAAGAAGGGGGCAGTTATGATTTCTCCTTTACCAATTTGAAAACCAAGCACAGAGTGCTAATGCTTGATGGCTTGCCCAAGGTCACATAGTTGGCAATTGGTGGGCACAGGAATTCCAACCTAGGCTGTGTGGCTCCAGCCTCAGGCAAGACTGATCGGCTATCAGCTGCCAGCCTCTGAATACATCCAGTCAAGGGATCTTGGCAAAGTAACTCAATCTCTTTGAGTCTCTGCTCTTTAACATAGGATCAGAAGTGACTGCACAATTGTGGGGTGTAAATGAAATTATGCAAGCAGGAAGACTGGCAGGTGGAATGAAGCATTCAGTAAGCTATGTAATTATTAGTTTATGGGGAGGAAGCTGTAGCATTAAGTATTCAGTTACTGGATTTTTATTTGTTTGTTGGTTTTGGGGACCAACAACCACCAGCCACCAAGGAATCAGACCAGACTTTTGAAATCTCTTAATGTCAATTCTGCACACAGAGCAATCGAGTTGCCCTACGTGTGCCACTCCTGACAGAAGCCCGTTTTTTAATTCCTGAATTGATACATTGTGCTTCCTACTCTGTATCCAGTGCCTAGAACAGAGCCTAGCACACAGTAGATGCTCAATTTGTAATTATTTTTAAAATTTATTCACTTAACATAAGTCAACCTAAGGCATTGCTCATCTGGTTTTTTCAGTTAATACTTCACACACATACCTCTCCCAGTGATGCTTCAGCCTCTAAAATTTGGCAGGGCTGTTCTCTCATTAACCCTTCTTCTCCCTGTACCCAAATCATCCCATTTGTCTCCCTGGCCTAATGTGGGAAATTACCAATATGGAGTCAGGTAAAATACAAGGAAATTTAATAGATAAAAGCCTTACTTACAGAGCGACCTAGCCAGCCTGCGGGGCAGCAGTAAGTACAGCAAGCCGAAGATGAAAGCGAAAGAAGGGCCGCCACATGAGCATCCCTCACTCTTAACCTTCCCTCAGGCACCCTGACCAGGTGTGGTCAGGAACACCTGTAGCCAGCCCCTAAACAGGCATGGCTACAGCATTCCCTACACTGGTCCTTTCACCTGGACATACATCTCTTTGTCACCTTCTACTCTTTGTATGTTTGTTGAGAGAGACAGGGTTTCTCTGTGTAGCACTGGCTGTTCTGGAACTCACTGTAGACCAGGCTGGCCTGGAACTCAGAGGCCCACCTGCCTCTGCCGCCTGAGTTTATTAAAGGAGTGCACCACCACCACCTATTTTCTATTCTTAAGTCCAGCAGCAGCATCTTCAGCAAAGTTCTCCTGAACATCATGGGATTCATGAACGTGATGCACAGTTACCTCAGTGCTGGGTAATAATATCAGGGCTTTCAAATAAAGACTGCTTAAATGGTGGCTCAGTATTTACCAAATGGGATCAGAGAACATATAGAAAGGAATTTTTCTTTTTGGTATTCTTATGTTTATGTGTCTAATATAGTATACAAATGCTATGGAGATTGGCATACCCAATGAAACATTCTATATGCTATATAGTTAAGAATAGAAAACTCTTCATTTCTACTCATCCTCTGATGAAGGAGAGGAATACTTATATTAACCTGTGATTCATTTTTTACAGGTGGTGGTGGGTGGTTGACACAGGGTCTCGTGGAGCCCAAGCTGGCTTTGGATTGACTATATAGCCAGAGATAACCTTAAATTCCAGATTTTCTTTGCTTATACCTCCCAAGCATTAGAATTACCTGCATTCGCCACCATTTGTGGCTAATCTAATTTTCTTCATGATATCTGGACATATCTTACAGGCTGGATCTCTGGTTAACTACCCAGATTGACAGACTCTTGCCAGAATGACACACCCACTACATGGTTTTCTTTTTTAAAAAAATATTTTGTTTGTTTATTATGTATACAGTCTTCTGCCTTCATACCAGCAGAGGGTACTAAATCCCATGTGGTTGCCAGGAATTGAACTCAGGACCTCTGAAGAACAGTCAGTGCTCTTAACCACTGAGCCATCTCTCCGGCCCCACTACATGGTTTTCTATCTATGGGAACTTCACTGAATTCCTGACTTACCTGTAATGCCATGTACCCTTTAAGAAAAGAAGCTATTTCTTAGCAACCCAGATGTCAGTCTTAGTTCCTGTTCTATTGCTATAAAGAGACAACATGACCAATGCAACTGTCATAAAAGAAAGCATTTAACTGGGGCCTTCCCTACAGTTTCAGAGGGTTAGTCCAGTATCATCATGGCAGGGATCCTGGTGGCAGATAGGCTAAATGCTAGAGAAGTCACTGAGAGCTGCATTCTGATCCATAATCAGAGAGAAAAAGAGAGAGAGAGAGAGAGAGAGAGAGAGAGAGAGAGAGAGAGAGAGAGAGAGAGAGTAGGTCTGGCATGGACTTTTTGAAACCTTAAAGTCTATCACCAGTGACACATCTCCCACAAGACCACACTTAGGCTGACAAGGGCACACATACTAGAACAAATTCACATCTCCTAATCCTTCCCAAGTAGCACAACCCTGGTGACTAAGCATTCAAATATATGAGCCTATGGAGGTCATTCTTATTCAAACCTCAATGGTGTCTGTGCTACCATTATATACTACTTCTTGACCCAAGGGCTTCTTCAAAACTTTAACAGCTGAATGAGAGAATTTGCTTGCCTTGGGTTTGGTGTATCCTCTCTGTGTTTGGGATTATATGAGATGCTAACAATGTAGTGAAACATTGATCATAGGTTCTTGTCCACCAAGGACAAAGAGAATACTGTGAGCAGGTTCCTGAGCTCTGCCTTGGTCCTGATGGATGGAAGCAGAGGCCAGGTAACCATTGTGGCTGGCAGAAGCTTTGAGGTAGGTTGTGAAGTCACTGAACTCTAAACTAATTGTTTAGAATGAATCTTATAGATGGGGAGGCACTGCCTTCTGTGAAGACCCCAGCAAGTTGCCTAGCAACTGCACTTATCTGCTGTGTTTGTGTGGGTGTATTTACAATGTCTACCACACACATTTCCAAGAGAACTTAATTTTATCTACATAAACCCGATGAAGTTTTTTTTTTAAGTTGCTAATATTAAGACAGGGTTAAGCAGGAGTATGCATAAGCAATGAAAGGGGAAAAGAGAAAATAGTGTTGGGAGTCTGAAATGAGAAAGTCACTCAATAGAATAAATTTAGCTTTGTGCTTCTTGGCAATGAAAGCAAACAGTTATGAAAACAATACAGTAGATTACGTAGTTGTATTTGCTTGAGCAAAAGATTCTGTTTTATGTTTTTAAATATGTTTTGGGGGTCTGTGCAGTTTCTTGGTGTTATTAACTAAGACATTTACCCACTTGTTCCCATGTGAACAATGCTGAGCGTTTCAAGAGTTTTGGACTTTTCATATTTCTTGGAGTGTTTAGAAAGGAAATCAAGGCTCACAGACACATGGACTACTCTTCAGAGGAAAAGGTAGAAGTTTGAACTATCCCAAGTATTTCTCAGCTCCAGCTTCAATGACAATGTGTTTACAAGATGGCAAGTTTGCTCAGCAGCTAAGAGCAATTGTTGTTCCTGTAGAGGACCCAGGTTCAGTCCCCAGCACCCACATGGTATGTTACAGCCATTTATAACTCCAGTTCCTGGTGATCTGATGTTTTTACCCGACCTCTGTGCACATCAGGGATACATACATATGCAGACAAAACACTCAAACATATAAGATAAATAGACCTTAAAATTTGTTTCAAAAGAAAATGCATTTATATACATGGACTCAGAAACATGCCACCCTCAAATCGTCCTAATTGTCCTGTGGGTTGAATGTTCTGTTTACATGATTTGGGGAGGGAGAGAAGACAAATGCACATGAGTACTAAAGGGAATTCCTTATTTTCATTCCCCAAAGTAATGTCTGCTCTGGCTTTAGACAATACTGAGCTAGTGAGTGGAGACAATGGATGTAATTTTGAGCATTAGTAACCTATGGACAGACTCATGCATTCAGCACTTGTTTTGGTCATTTTCTGCCTAATGGGCTAAAACCAGAGCTCTCTCCATTTGTATCTGAGCTAAAGAATGTAGACTCTACCACTAGTAGCATTAGATATTCTTCTCAGTGCTTGGACCAAATATCAGACAAGAAGCAACTGCAGAAAGGAAGAGTTTATTATGGCTCTAAGTTTAAGGGCACACAGTCCATCCTTGGTGGCAGGAGCTGGAGGCAGCTGGTCACATTGTATCCACAGCTAGGAAGTAGATAATGAACAGGAATGGGGGTAAGATATTGAAGGTTCCAGAGCCTTCCCAAACAACACCTCCAGCTAGAGACCAATTATTCAAATACATGAGCCCATAGGGGACATTTCACATTCAACTCACAATACTGAATTAACATTGGATGCCTGCCTACATGCTAGAGGGAAATTTTAGTGCTGAAGATAAGATCTAGGGTCTCAGCAAGTTAGACAATGAGCTATATCTGAATACCTGAAAGCCAGATTATTATCAAACATTATGGCCTTTGTTCATTAAACACTTTCAAATTATCAGCAAATTGAGGGAAACAAAAAGTTTGCCCATGGGTTTTGAAAGGCACTTTGTTATAGGCTATAGGAAATGCTAGTTCTGAAAAATAGTCTAAGATTTACAAAACACAGACTAGCTGAATGATGGGGGATGTTCTTCTGTATATATTTATCTTATTAGTTGATGAATAAAATACTGATTGGCCAGTAGCCAGGCAGGAAGTATAGGTGGAGCTACCAGACTAGGAGAATTCCGGGAAGAGGATGCAGAGAGTGAGCTGCCAGAGAGATGCCATGTAGCTGCTAGGAAGATAGGATGCACAGCATTCTCTGGTAGGATGAGGTCATGAAGAAATACATAGATTAATAGGCATTGGTTAATAATTAAGAGAGAACTAAACAATAAGAAGCCTAAGTCAATGGCCAAACAGTTTATAATTACTATAAGTCTCTGTGTATATATTTGGGGCAAAATGGCTATGGGACCAGGTAAGACAGAACTTCCATCTACACTGAATGTAAGGCTCATAGATGAGAGTCGGTGCTTCAGGTTCTGCAAAGAGAAACTTTTCTACATTCTGCCAAGTCCCACAGATGCTTATAAAATAATCACTCTGAGGCTTAATATTAATTACAAACAGTTTGGCTTGTCAGCTCTGGCTTATTATTAACTAGCTCTTACAACTTAAATTAACCCATTTCTATTAATCTGTGTATTGCTACAAGACCCATGGCTTATTACCACACATCTTGCTTCTCCAGGGGCTACTTGCATCTCCTAGGCTTTGCCTTTCTTCTCCTTGCATCCCTGTTTGTATTTCCTGCCTGTCTCTATCCTGCATGGCTATTGGTCAAATCAGCTTATTTATTAACCAATGGTAATATTCACAGCATAAAAAGGAACATTACACATCAAGGTTCCTAGTGTATCTGGGGGTAGTCAATACAATGATGAATTCTGTTGAAGAGAAATATATGTTTATTGTAAAATGCACATAATTCCATATTTTTTCTACTTAGCCTT